AGGGGACAATGAGGGGTTAGTTTCAGTTTGGGAGGATGAAAAAGGTCTGGAGATGGATGGTGGTGGTGATGGTCACATAATAATATGACTGTACTTAATTCCACAGAACTGTACATTGAAAAATGGTTAAAGTGGTAAATTTTATGGTATATACAACTGTATTTCCTTTAAAAAAAGAAAAAAACCTGTACCCTTTAGCATTCACTCCCCATTCCCTGTTTCATCCCCTTCCCCAGCAACCAGGAATCTGCTTTCTGTCTCTATGAACTTGTCTGTTCTGGAAATTTCTCATAAATAGAATCATCACATCAAAAGGAAGCCTTTTGTGTCTGGCTTCTTTCGCTTAGCATCATATTTTCAAGGTTCATTCATGTTGCAGCATGTATCAGCACTTCATTCCTTTTCCGTGTTCATTCATGTTGCAGCATGTATCAGCACTTCATTCCTTTTCCGTGTTTGAATAATATTCCATTATGTGGCTATATCACATTTATGCATTCATTAATTGATGAACATTTGGATTGTTTCCATTTGTGTGCAGATATTTGTGTGGACATATGTTTTCAATTATCTTGGGTATAAAAACATTCTTAATTGATCCCTTAGGCTTGATTGTGCAAAAGTGCAGTCCTTAAGTTAAAAGGATATGTTCTTTTTCAAGGCTTTTGCTATGTATCGCTTAATCACCTTTTAGAAAGACACCAGTTTAATTATATACTCCTGTTAGCAGTATAAGTGCCCATTTGTACTGCCTATTAAGAGACAAGGAAGTTACTCATGAAACACCTTCTTTATCTGCATCTGGTGGTCATCAAGTTCTGCTTAATTTACCTTCTTAATAGTTCTTGAATCTTTTCCCTCTTCTCCATTCCCACTGCTGCTTCCTTGTCTTGTTCCTTCATCACTTCTCACCATCAGCTACACTACCTTCTAACTGAAAATCCTTTCTCTAACACTGTTGCAGAGTGATCTCATCATATTACTTCTCTGCTTTAAAATCACTTCATGGCTTGCCATTGCCTTTTGGAAAAAGGCTAAATTCCATAGCAGGATGTAAAAGACCTATCAGAATCTAGCTTCTGTGCATCTTTCCAGTTTCATTTCCTGTCATTCATCTTTCTCCCCACTTCTCTCCCACCCCATCATACCAAGCAACTTGTGGTTCCTGGAATGCATAACACTATCTCATTCCTCTGTGTCTTTCGTATGCTACTGACCCCTCTACCTGAAACACCTTTCTTCTCTTAGATAATTCCCACTTTTTCTTAAAGTTTAGCTCAGGTGTTACCCCTCTAGAAGGGCTTCCCTGAACCCTGTGTTCTTTTCTGAGTTCCCATAGCTTCCAGCTCTAACCTACAGCATTTATCTACTTGGATTATAGTTGCCTTTCTATTTTTCTGTGTCTTCCATTAAACTGAGCTCCTTGAGATTAGAGAATATAGCTTAATCTTCTTTATAGCCCCAGCACAGGCATGGCACATAATAGGTACTTAGTAGATGTTGAATAAATTAGTAGAAGCTGGTGTTTCGTAGGGACATTTGTGTGGAGGAGCCCCTTAGTGAGCAAGATGCCAGGTATTATTAGGTTGTTACTTCCTACCTGGTGGGACATGAACTCATGCGATCTATGGTGTCTCCTTTAGGGAACAGACTACTTTGTGTGTATCCATCCTGGAGAGGTTGCTCCAAGCTTTGGAGCCAGTTCACATGGCCCGGAACCTCAGGAGTGACCTGCAGAGGGGACTGACTCATCCCAATGATTCTGTAAAAATCCTCACTCTGTCCCAGGTATGAAATCATACAAGCACATAATAAGGGAACTGACATTTAGTGGCCACCTGCCCTGGGCCAGGCTCTGTGCTGGGTGCCAGACACAGAGGGGTGAAGAAAGCATGTGCTCTCTCAGTCCCTAGGGAGTGTCTGGTCTCTTCTAGTGTATGCAGCTAACTATAACCAGGGGGATAGAAGCTGAAGTAGGAGGTTGCACCCGGTACCATCTGAATCAATCATTCATTCATCAAATACTGAGTTCCTTATTCCTGGCATTGTACCGTGTGTTGTTAGAGCTACCAAGTTAAAGAAAGCCTGCTTCTTTCCTTCAAGGAGCCCTGAGTCTAGAGGAAAAGATCGCTATGTTAAGTCTTGATCTAGTGGCATGAATGA